CTCTGTAAAGTGTCAGTGATGTTTATAACACTAGCTGACAGCGGTGGATTAGATCTGTATATCTGTGATGTATTTTTGCGTGGTGGTTGGCCCCTCTGTATAGTGTCAGTGATGTTATAACACTAGCTGACAGCGATAGATTAGAACTGTTTATCTGTGATGTATTTTTGCGTGGTGGTTGGCCCCTCTGTAAAGTGTCAGTGATGTTTATAACACTAGCTGACAGCGGTGGATTAGATCTGTATATCTGTGATGTATTTTTGCGTGGTGGTTGGCCCCTCTGTATAGTGTCAGTGATGTTATAACACTAGCTGACAGCGATAGATTAGAACTGTTTATCTGTGATGTATTTTTGCGTGGTGGTTGGCCCCTCTGTAAAGTGTCAGTGATGTTATAACACTAGCTGACAGCGATAGATTAGAACTGTTTATCTGTGATGTATTTTTGCGTGGGGGTTGGCCCCTCTGTATAGTGTCAGTGATGTTATAACACTAGCTGACAGCGGTAGATTTGAACTGTATATCTGTGATGTATTTTTGCGTGGTGGTTGGCCCCTCTGTATATTGTCAGTGATGTTATAACACTAGCTGGCAGCGGTAGATTAGAACTGTATATCTGTGATGTTGTAATGTACCAGTTGATATCAAGTACAAGTGGTTCTGTCTGTCCAAATAATGAGACTTTGGACAGTATATTGCCCTTTAGATATCAGCTTTTCTGTACAAAAGATGTAGTACTTTACATTGTGTATTAGTTCTAGATATTTGTAGCTGCTAGTGTTTTATTGTTATTCTATATGTTTGTTATTTTGAAAATTTAGTTAGTGTGTAACCATTCTTGACCAAGTGGATTCAAAACTGCATAAATATGAGTGCTTCCACCCCACGAGGAAAGAGGGAAATGTCCCATGGGAGTAGTAGAGATACATTTTCATAAGACGGTGTGAAACATCCAGGGGACAAAAGGTTTCAATGTTTAATGTATCAAGTGGTTGTCTATTTTAAAATTCCTTTAGAAGCCTACTTCGCAGGTCCTGTACAACAATAAATTTGCTTTCTAAAGATGTTTCATATAGAATTAGATGATTATATAAATTGCATATTTATATCAGTTTTGGCTTGTTTTTAGCTGGTGATTTTGACTAGTTTATTTGAAATATATAAGTATATGATAAAAGTTTGTGAGCTATTTAGGCTCATTGCCCTCTATTGTAATACATTGTATTCATATCAATATGTCTTTAGTCACTGATGAAATGGTAAAAGGTTGTAAGGACAATTTTAAACATAACAACAAAATTCCTTACTCAAATTCAGACAGTAACAGCAAGTGTCTTACAGTGTCCAGACATACACTACTGTATACAGCAATCCAGAGAAATCAGGAGACTTGAGCTATCACTCCCCGTCCTCCTCCTCCTCCTCCTCCTCCTCCTCCTCCTCCTCCTGGTCCTCCCACCACTTCATCACTACGCCATAATCACTTCCACCCCAATCGTACTCATGGAATATTCATGCTGACTTCATAACGTACAGTATTCATGTTCACAGCTACACTATCAGTATTCATTATCACAACAACACTTGATGAGATGACATTCATTGTCACAATGACCATTTTATCATCCTGTTAGCTTATACTCACTTCTCACACATATATAAATATATATATTTTTTTAAGTTGTTATTAAAAATGTTTGCAAATTATATATTAAAAAAGAAAATGATATGATTTTATTTGAAAACATAACCATATAATCATAGGCTGTTGCTATTTGATTTTGAGCTTCGGCTGTCAGTAGATTTTTTTGAGTTTTGGCTATCAGAAGTATTTTTGAGTTAAGGCTGTTGATAGTCAAGATGAAGTTTGATCAGTTTCTTTTAATTAATTCAGCAATGATGTGAATGTTGTCAATAGTGATTGGAATATGAAATGAAAACTCATCTTGCAAACTGCAAACCAATATTTGCACATTTTTTTTTCATGACCAGATGATTATCCAAAAAATTAGATACAGTGTTTGTCCCCCTCCCATCGTTCAAAATCAATTTCTTTCCAGGTGCGAAGGTCAAAGATCAAGGTTACGTTTATTATAAATAGAACACTGATTTCCGCACAATAACCGAACCCCTGTGGGCTACTCATCTACTGCAGTGTTCCTTACAGAAAGTTCTTATTATACCCCGCTTTCACCGAAACGGGGGATATTCTTTTGGGCTTGTCTGTCTGTCTGTCTGTCTGTCTGTCACGCTTCTTTTCCATGCAATCACTACAACAAATGTTAACTGATTTTTTTTCAAACTTGATCACAGGGTTAAATGCCTTAAGGGCTCGGCCAAGTTCGATGACCACTTTCAGTGGACCCCATTTGGCGGAGTTATGGCCCCTTGAATAATGGAAAAGTCTATCTGCTGCATTTCGTTTCCGTGCAATAACTACAACAAATGTTAACAGATTTTCTTCAAACTTGGTCACAGGGTTAAACGCCTTAATGGCTCGGCTATGTTCGATGACTACTTTCAGCAGACTTTATTTAGCGGAGTTATGGCACCTTGAATAACAAATAACGTCATTATCTGCTGCGTTTCGTTTCTGTGCAATAACTACAACAACTGTTAACCGATTTTCTTCAAACTTGGTCACCGGGTTAAATGCCTTAAGGGCTCGGCATGTTCGATGACCACTTTCAGTGGACCCCATTTGGCGGATAATGAAAATTGTCATTATCTGCCGCACTTCGTTTTTGTGCAATAACTACAACAAATGTTTAACTTATTTTCCTCCAACTTGATCACAAGGTTAAATGCCTTGAGGAATTGGCCAAGTTCGATGACCACTTTCAGCGGACCCCATTTGGCGGACTTATGGCCCCTTGAAAACAAAAACGTCATTATCTGCTGTTTCTGTTCATTAACTCTCGCAAATATTATCCGATTGTCTTCAAACTTAGTTACAGAGTTCAATGCATTAAGGGCTCATCCAGGTTTGACAACCACTTTAATCGGACTCCATTTAAAGAGTAATGGCCCCTTGACCAACGAAAAACATCATTCTTTGCAGTTTCCACTTTATAACTCTAGCAAATATTAGCCAAATTCCTTCAAACTTTATAACAACATTTGTGTTCCTCTGTCTTTCCACCAATCTCGGGCACTCTTTGGGTTTCGTGTGATAAATGCTGTAGATATTGATCAGATGTTTCAACCAAATTCCATATGCACATCCGACTCATGCTAAGTTTACCAACCCATGTGATTTATGCATATTTACGGATAATCAATGAGGTATAGGGCTTTTTTTTTTTTCAAGTGTTTCAAGCTATACATTATGTCTTAACAGCAGGATACTCACTTGTTTAAAGCTTTTTATAACCTCAATAATGTTAACCTACAATATGTCCTGCAAGCGGGGGATTTAAATTCCACGAATTTGCTTGTTTGGGATTGCTTTCAAGGTCCAAAGGTTCAAGGTCAAAGTCACTCATACTATGTTACATAATTCAAAAATGTGGGTTTCCATGCAGTTGCTCTTTCTGATGGTTGTTCAAGCTCAAATAACTAAATAATCTGATTTATCAGCAAGGTACTATGTCTATATGGTTGTATTTCAGGTCAGAGGTCAAAAGTCAAGGTCACTAGTACTCTTAAAAGGAAACCAGTTTCTGTGGAACACTGAAACATTATACACTGTATGCTTAACAAAAAAAGTGTTTGTTTAGGATTACTTTTCAGGTCTGAAGGTCAAAAGTCATGGTCACTAGTACTCTTAAAAGGAAACCAGTTTCTGTGGAACACTGAAACATTATACACTGTATACTTAACAAAAAAGAGTTTGTTTAGGATTACTTTTCAGGTCCGAAGGTCAAAGGTTGAGTTCACTGCTGCTTTGAATAGTTTTCCACTCAATAGCTTCAGTTCTCATTGGCTGGTAACACTCAGACTTCATACATTGCTTCCTTGCCAAACATCCTAGCATGGGATTGATTTTAAGGTTCTCTGATTAAAGGTCAAAGCCTTACATTCTGCACCACACAAATGCTTTGGTATCAAAAATCACATTTTGTCATCTCCTGACTAAGACATTGATACTAGGGATGTGTATTGTGATATCAAACAGTGAAGAAAATGTGTAAGAAGTGTGCATTTAATCCAGCATAATAATTCCAATGCATGCTAAACACTCAGCCGACATCACAGTCCATTGATACGTAACTCTTATAACTCTATCACAGTTAAATTGCTATGTACAGAATTTACCAACCATACTCCAGTATTTGACATGAGAACTGTGAAAAAACTTTCAATTATTAAGATCGGTGTGAAATGAACTCATTGGTGATTAAATCATGGCTATTCTGAATTTTCTTTGTACATCAGTGGAATTTCGACAATCTCTGATACAATTGTATGCTGAACAAACTCTCATCCTGTTGAAAAGCATTTTACTAAGGGGAAAAGGAGAGAAAGGAAATTGCCTGCTGGAGAAGGTTTTGCTGGGGTTTGATATATACAACCCTCTATATTTAATATGTATTTTGTAAGATACAGTTGTATTAACAGTCATTGTGTGTATATATACCTACAAGACTACATCTACAGCAATACTGACAGAATGATACTCATGTATCTAGTCTGTAACTGTGTTCTTTGTTCCTTCCAGGAAAAGTATTCCCAAAATTGAAACGGAAAGGTAGTCGTCTCTCTAACATTCCACAGGAGGGCAGCACAAGCAGCTCCAGTACAGAGGAAGACGAAGCCACTGATTACGTCTTCCGCATCATCACCACATTCAGACCTTCCAGTATTCGTAAGTCATACCTACATGTAGACCTGCCAATTTTTTAGGTCACCTCAAGTGACCTATTCTGATCGCATTTCGCCCGTCGTCATGCGTAAACTTTTTACATTTTCAACTTCTTCTCAAGAACCAGGAAATCATTTTTTTTCAAACTTGGTCAGAATCATCCTTGGTAGATGAGGCTACAAAAGTGTAAAATTGGGATTCCTACCCAAACCCCAGGGGCCAGGTGGGGCTGGGGCCCCAAAGGGAAAATTAACCAATATTTCAAAAATCTTCTTCTCTAGACACAGAGGTACTACAGTCATTTTCTCTGCACGGATGGAAACATCATCAAGGGCTTTATGTAAATTGTAAATTTCAGTACCCCCGGGCTATCCGTTCTCCCTTGGGGAGGGGGGTGGGGGGGTGGGGGGTCAAGTTTACTATATTTTTTATTGGGAAATAACACTTTGGGGTATATTTTGACAATTTTCTGTAGGAAATTATTCAATCTTGGTGAGAATTATCCTTGGAGGAAGATGGCTTCAAATTGTAAAATTGGGATTCCTACCCAAACCCCAGGGACCAGGGTGGGGCCCCAACCAGAAATTGAACCAATATTTCAAAAATCTTCTTCTTCAGACTCAGAGGTACTACAGTCAATTTCTGTGCATGGATTGAAAGATCAGCAGGGGCTTTGTTTAAAGTGTAAATTCAGGACCCCTGAGCCATCCGTTCTCCTTTGGGGATGGTGTAAAAGTTTACTATAGTTTATATAGGGAAATATCACTTTGTGGTATATTTTGACAATTTTCTGTAGGAAATTATTCAATCTTGGTGAGAAATATCCTTGGAGGAAGATGGTTTCAAATTGTAAAATTGGGATTCCTACCTAAACCCCAGGGGCCAGGGTGCGGCCCCAACGGGAAAATTAACCAATATTTCAAAAATCTTCTTCTCGAGACTCAGAGGTACTACAGTCAATTTCTGTACATGGATGGAAGATCATCAGGGGCTTTGTTTAAATTGTAAATTTCAGGACCCCTGAGCCTTCCGTTCTCCCTTGGGGAGGGGATAAAGTTTACTATAGTTTATATAGTAAAATAACACTATTGGGTATATTTTCTCCATTTTCAGCAGATAATTATTCAAACTTGGTCAGATTCATCTTTAGTAGATGAGGGTATTACATTGTAAAATTGGGATTACTGCCCCATCCCCATGGGCTAGGGCGGGACCCCAAACAGAATATTTACCAATATTTTAAAATTCTTATCCTTTGATGACATGACAAGTATTGTATTTCACTTAGTTTACATGCTATTTCCACATCACATCTTAACAATAAAATTGAGCTACCAGTACCTATGACATTACTCAGGTGACCGCTAAGGCCCTTTGGCCTCTTCTTTTAATTTTGTACTGAATAATTTTGCACTGCATCAGCCTATATAGGTTTTTTAAAACTCTATACAGTATTTGAGTTTTACAGTTTTAATAATTTCTCCTGTTGATGTCATTTCTCTTATTTATCAAAAACATAATTGTGTAACAGTGTCAACTTTATCATGTATTATTCAATTTTTGTTTCAATATTCATGTTGTTTTTACTTGAGCAAAACCTTCTACTGTTGTAGCTCCAGAAATGATGGATCCTAAAGCAAAGATAAAGGGAGAGAACTTTTCCTGGGCCAACCGTATTCCGCGCCTACCAAGCCCTCTGGCTCAGTCGTCAGTACAAGATTACGCCAAAGATCAGGAGGAGCAGAACAACTCCTGTCTCTCCAAACAGGGTTCCAACCACAGGTCTGGGTAAAACACGCCTTTATCTCTCTAAACAGGGTTCTAACCACAGGCTAGGTCTGGGTAAAACGTGCCTTTATCTCTCTAAACAGGGTTCCCACCACAGGTCTGGGTAAAACACGCCTTTGATCTTTCTAAACAGGGTTCCAACCACAGGTTCGGGTAAAACACTCCTTTTTCCGTCTAAACTTCTAACCACAGGCTCGGGTAAAACACATGTATCTCTCTAAACTCCCAACCACAGGTTCGGGTAAAATATGCCTTTATCTCTCCAAACAGGGCCATGCTATGTAAAATGTAAAAAATTAAAATTATTGAATGAAGATGAAATAGTCCTTTTTTTTCTATTTGAAAACTTCATTAGATAAAAGAGGAAAAATATAATCTCTTCAACTTTTATATATTTTGATATTTCAGAACTACATTAAAACAACTTTGTGATACTATGAAGAAACAAATTATCTCCAGAGCTTTTTATGGGTGTAAGTATTTCTCTTCATGTCTCGATTACAGTGTGTCTCTGTGTGTCTTTATTTCATACTGTGTGTCTGTACATCTCTGAGTGTCTCTATACATCTCTGTGTGTCTCTATACATCTCTGTGTGTCTCTATACATCTCTGAGTGTCTCTATACATCTCTGAGTGTCTACATCTATTCATCTCTGAATGTCTCTATACATCTATACATCTCTGAGTGTCTCTATACATCTCTGAATGTCTCTATACATCTATAAATCTCTGAGTGTCTCTATACATCTCTGAGTGTCTCTATACATCTCTGAGTATCTCTATACATCTGTACATTTCTGAGTGTCTCTATACATCTCTGAGTGTCTCTATACATCTGTACATCTCTGAGTGTCTCTATACGTCTCTGAGTGTCTCTATACATCTCTGACTATTCTATACATCTCTGAGTATCTCTATACATCTCTAAGTGTCTATACATCTCTGAGTGTCTCTATACATCTCTGAGTGTCGCTACATCTATTCATCTCTGAGTGTCTACATCTATTCATCTCTGAATGTCTCTATACATCTATTCATCTCTGAATGTCTCTATACATCTATTCACCTCTGAGTGTCTCTATACATCTATAAATCTCTTGAGTGTCTCTATACATCTCTGAGTGTCTCTATACATCTCTGAGTATCTCTATGCATCTGTACATTTCTGAGTGTCTCTATACATCTCTGAGTGTCTCTATACATCTGTACATTTCTGAGTGTCTGTATACATCTCTTAGTGTCTCTGTACATCTCTGAGTGTCTCTGCACATCTCTGAGTGTCTCTATACATCTCTGAGTATCTCTATACATCTCTAAGTGTCTCTATACATCTCTGAGTGTCTCTACATCTATTCATCTCTGAGTGTCTACATCTATTCATCTCTGAATGTCTCTATATATCTATTCATCTCTGAGTGTCTCTATACATCTGTACATCTCTGAGTGTCTCTATACGTCTCTGAGTGTCTCTATACATCTCTGACTATTCTATACATCTCTGAGTATCTCTATACATCTCTAAGTGTCTATACATCTCTGAGTGTCTCTATACATCTCTGAGTGTCGCTACATCTATTCATCTCTGAGTGTCTACATCTATTCATCTCTGAATGTCTCTATACATCTATTCATCTCTGAATGTCTCTATACATCTATTCACCTCTGAGTGTCTCTATACATCTATAAATCTCTTGAGTGTCTCTATACATCTCTGAGTGTCTCTATACATCTCTGAGTATCTGTATACATCTGTACATTTCTGAGTGTCTCTATACATCTCTGAGTGTCTCTATACATCTGTACATTTCTGAGTGTCTGTATACATCTCTTAGTGTCTCTGTACATCTCTGAGTGTCTCTGCACATCTCTGAGTGTCTCTATACATCTCTGAGTATCTCTATACATCTGTACATTTCTGAGAGTCTCTATACATCTCTGAGTGTCTCTATACATCTCTGAGTGTCTCTATACATCTCTGAGTGTCTCTATACATCTGTACATCTCTGTGTGTCTCTATACATCTCTGAGTGTCTCTACACATCTCTGAGTGTCTCTATACATCTCTGAGTGTCTCTATACATCTCTGAGTGTCTCTATACATCTCTGAGTATCTCTATACATCTCTAAGTGTCTCTATACATCTCTGAGTGTCTCTACATCTATTCATCTCTGAGTGTCTACATCTATTCATCTCTGAATGTCTCTATATATCTATTCATCTCTGAGTGTCTCTATACATCTGTACATCTCTGAGTGTCTCTATACATCTCTGAGTGTCTCTGTACATCTGTACATCTCTGAGTATCTCTATACATCTCTGAGTGTCTCTATACATCTCTGAGTGTCTCTATACATCTGTACATCTCTGAGTGTCTCTATACATCTCTGAGTGTCTCTTTACATCTCTGAGTATCTGTATACATCTGTACATCTCTGAGTGTCTCTATACATCTATACATCTCTGAGTGTCTCTATACATCTCTGAGTGTCTCTATACATCTCTGAGTGTCTCTATACATCTCTACATCTCTGAGTGTCTCTATACATCTCTGAGTGTCTCTATACATCTCTGAGTGTCTCTGTACATCTCTGAGTGTCTCTATACCTCTGTACATTTCTGAGTGTCTCTATACATCTCTGAGTGTCTCTATACATCTGTACATTTTTGAGTGTCTCTTTACATCTCTGAGTATCTCTATACATCTCTGAGTGTCTCTATACATCTCTGAGTGTCTCTATACATCATTTCTATTTATTTGTATTTCCTTTTATCAGTCTCTGTATCTATCTGTCTGTACTTCTGTATCTCTGTATATTTCTCTGTATGTCTGTATTTCATACTTGTGTGTCTGTAGATGTCAGAGAGTGTGTTTCCTTGTATTGGTCTCTATATATATATCTCTGTATATTTCTCTGTATGTCTGTATTTCCTACTGTGTGTCTGTACATCTCTTAGAGTTTTGTACATTGTTTATCTGTATTTACCTGTAACAGTCTCTGTATCTGTCTACCTGTACTTCTGTGTCTCTGAATGTTTCTCCTTGTATTTGTTAATTTAATAACTATGTATATTTGTAGTCCAATACCAGATATACTAATATATTGACAGGGCTAGCCCACTGTCGTCACCTAAAGACAGTGAGAACACACCTGTCCGGCCTCGTCCTGGGTACACTAGTGGGCACAGATTCTGAGTATGACTTGTCAGCGGGACTGACCGAGGAGCAGTGGAAGTTCATTAACAAAGACAACATGGTAAGGAGTAATTCTGGGGACTTACTGACAAAATACATGTACAACGAGGGGGTTCACTGGTGTGGGAGGGGCATGCTGAGAGAGTCTGGGTAATAGAACTGAGAGGAGTTTTGGTGTCATCAATAAAATTATACCCTGCAAAGTTGATAGTGTCATCAAGACCATTAAAGTACAATGCAAACAGACTAGACCCTGGGGAAATCCTTTGGGTATCCCTCAAGGTAATTTGAGTCCAGCTTGAATTTTCACTGTTTAGATATAAATCTCTGTTGTAAAAACCCTGACCTCCAGTTGATAATCTCTTCTCCCACCTTCACAGGTGTGTCTCCCGTTTTAGCTGGGAAAGATCAGCTTGTCTACACCTAGAGGGAGATAGCCTTGTGCCGATTAGCACATGTTCAATTGTGACGTCATTAAAATGTGTCATCGGTAATTGTGACGTCATCAAAAGTGAATGACGATATGCATACCCCACATGTGTTTTTGTTTACAAATATGACAGACTACTGTCGTCGGAGCTGTGACTGAAATAATAGGATGGGAGAAAAATAATCATCCCCTACCTTGAATGTGTAACAGAGAAATCTCTAACCCTCGGGTGATTTTTTTGGTTGTCTAACGCAGAGCCTGGGGTTAGACAACCAAAAAACATCAACCCTCGGGTTGGAGATTTCTCTATCACACCCTCAAGGTAGGGGAAGATTCTATTACTCACTAAATTTGAATTCTTACTGATCTCTAGGTGTCCGACCCCGAGGAGGTTTACAGACTGGTGTACAATGGAGGGGTGGCACACGAAATAAGGAAAGAGGTAAGTTACTACAGTGAAATAAGTTTACTCAGAACATGCTTATTGCCAATTTTTTCTCAGATAACAATTGGTTTGTGTTTGTTATTACCCTTTTAAACTTTACACCGTTTCAACTCTCAGTCAATAATTTTCAAGATTGATCAAGTGTATGTCATCTTCAAAAAGAATTATGAAATTTTCATGATGATGACAGGTAGAACAGGGAATTTTCGCATCTTTGTGTCGCAATATCTGCTTGTTGAGCATTGAATCTGTCATCTGTTTTCCAACACATGTAGGACGGTAGTCTAGTGGTAGGACGCCTGGCTCGTGACCGGAGAGTTGCGGGTTGGAGTTACGTCACTGCACTGTGTTGTATCCTTGAGCAAGATACTTTGCTCCACTTGTTCCAGTCTACTCAGCTGTAAATGAGTATGTGGTTGAGCAGTGCAAGAATTGTTGAATGCTAGCTGTGAGCGCCGAAATGGCAGCACCGGCTGTACGCTCCCGAGGGAGTTGGGAAAGATATTGGCTGGTTGCAAAGACCCTATAACCACAGATGATAATTTGTGAACCGCTTTGAGATGACCTACAAACTAGGTTGTGATAAAGAGGTATAAAAGAACCTCAAATTATTATTATAATTATAACATATAATGCCAAAGTGGAAATGTTTGCAGAAATATCAAAATGTGAATAAGTGGATTATATTGATTATAGAATATTTATATAGATTTCAGAACCATTGTCAATATGAAAATGTCCACATTGCAATCAGTTAAAAGAGTCACAAAGCTACATTTCAACATGCCAAAGTTTCCACTTTTACAGGATATATGGTACTTTGTAACCAAACAGTTACACTATAGGACGTATCAGTTAAGCTGTATGACTTGTGTGGTGTTTATTTTATAGGTGTGGCCTTACCTGTTGGGACATTATTCCTTTAGCAGCACACCAGAGGAGCGGGAAAAGGTGGACGAGGTGATGCGTACAATGTACGAAAGGACAATGTCTGAATGGTTAGCAATTGAGGCAATCGTTAAACAACGTGATAAAGAGATCATGGCAGCTAATCTGGCCAAATTGTCGTCTCATAGTTCAGACGGACAGATTCCACTGGTACGTAAAGACTCGAGTCTAAGTAACGACGTGTTTGAATCTCAGCAAAGTTTTGATGAGTGGGATGATTTCTCACATCCAGAGACTGTACCCGAGGAAAGCTCGGCCACAGGGACAACGTGTACACCAACCCCAGACAGGAAACAGAGTATGGAGCTCCACCTACAACAGGCAGAGGTCATCGAAAAGATGACACAAACAGAAATATTGTTGGAGAAAAGAGACTATGTGTGTACATCATTTTCTGATAGTCCAGATGATGGGCTCGGAGACTCTATAGCACGACAGAGTTCTCAGGAGAGATCAAAGTTAGACTCGGCTGGTGACTCGGAGGGAACGGACATCTCTCGAGCCGACCGTGAGGGCAGCATGGAACGCCACATCATCGTTACCAAGATGTCCTGCTCCATGGATAGTGCAGAGGCTGATGAAGAGGACGGTGGGGCAGAGTCTGATGATGAGGAAGAGGATGATGATGATGATGAAGACAACGATGATGATGAAGATGATGACAGAGATGGTCTCTCTAGTCAAAGGCATTCCCTAACAGTGGAAAACACCGGAAAAGCTTTTGATGCCGAAAATATGGGTAAGATAGTAACGGCCGAAATACTGGCAGATGATTTGATACAAAAGACATACATGTAGTGGAGGTTATATAACAGTGTAAAGTACTGGTAATTATGGTTTGTTGTGGTTTGTATGACCCCAACAGGTCACTCACAAGTACTACCAGAGGGGACTATATGTATGACCCCCAGGGGTCACTCACAGGTACTACCAGAGAAGACTATATGTATGACCCCCAGGGGTCACTCACAGGAACTACCAGAGGGGACTAGATGTATGACCCCCAGGGGACACTCCCAGGTACTACCAGCGGGGACTATATGTATGACTCCCAGGGGTCACTCACAGGGACTACCAAAGGGGACTATATGTATGACGCCCAGGGGTCACTCACAGGTCCTACCAGAGGGGACTATATGTCTGACCCCCAGGGGTCACTCTCAGGTACTACCAGAGGGGACTGAAGGTATTACCCCCAGGGGTCACTCCCAGGTACTACCAGCGGGGACTATATGTATGACCTCCAGGGGTCACTCACAGGTCCTACCAGAGGGGACTATATGTATGCCCCCCAGGGGTCACTCAGAGGTACTACCAGAGGGGACTGTATGTATGACACCCAGGGGTCACTCACAGGGACTACCAGAGGGGACTGAAGGTATTACCCCCAGGGGTCACTCACAGGTACTACCAGAGGGGACTAAAGGTTAATACTACAATTATCAGACAGTCTTTTTAATCTGTTTGTCAGTCTGTGCCTCACTTTGTCTGGGGCATATCTCAAATACTGTGTCACCTGCACATGTTATTGCCAAGTTTTGCATGTGAGAAGCTTACTGAAACCAAGTGTCTTGCCCCCTGGTGGAGTTATGGCCCTTTTTATTCCCTCGCAACAAAAGTTGGAGGGGATAAAGGATTCAGCCCCACGTATGTACGTAGGTTACACTCTTCGTCATCGCTCTGGCGACTTCATTTCTCCATGGAATTTCATGAAACTTCCTACAAGTATTTAGTATGGCAATGCCTTGAACAAGTTTGCTTTTCGGGTTTCTACGTTGAAAGTCAAGATCACTGTTACTACATCAAAGAATGCAGTCGCTAGAGCAGATAATTTCCTCATACATATGTCACACAATGTGTGAACGCGAGGGGACATACATATGTCAGGCAATGTGTGAATGCGAGGGGACATACATATGTCACACAATGTGTGAACGCGAGGGGACATACATATGTCATGCAATGTGTAAACGCGAGGGGACATACATATGTCACGCAATGTGTGAACGCGAGGGGACATACATATGTCACGCAATGTGTGAACGCGAGGGGATTTGTTTAACTTGTGATGTCTTGTTACATTTTTCATACCAAAGTTTGCCTGGACATGGGGAACTACGGATTGCTAAAAACACCTGCCTGTTTACATGACAAATTGTTAAATATTTCATGAGAGTGTATCATAACTATGTTTTTTCTGTATCTTTGATAATATTTCTTTACTTCCTTCATTAATCAACTGGTTTACTCGTTGTCAGTATAATGTGACCGAGCGGAATGCTGTGCTGGATGCCTTCGGTATGGTATTTCAGTGAAATAGCACAATAAAGTCGGCATCAGATCCACGCTATCACAAGCTTTTAAGGACCTTAGATGTTGATGGGATGTTACACAAATAAAACCTAGTTCATTAATATAAGATTTGCATGTAGTATATTGTTATTTGTAAAGAATGTGCATGTAAATATGAGATTGAGTTAAATTTGTTATTACCGGGGTATCTATAATTGATGAGCTGAGTGAATTAAATGTGTTATTATCTATAATTGATGAGCTGAGTGAATTAAATGTGTTATTATCTATAATTGATGAGCTGAGTGAATTAAATGTGTTATTATCTATAATTGATGAGCTGAGTGAATTAAATGTGTTATTATCTATAATTGATGAGCTGAGTGAATTAAATGTGTTATTATCTATAATTGATGAGCTGAGTGAATTAAATGTGTTATTATCTATAATTGATGAGCTGAGTGAATTAAATGTGTTATTATCTATAATTGATGAGCTGAGTGAATTAAATGTGTTATTATCTATAATTGATGAGCTGAGTGAATTAAATGTGTTATTATCTATAATTGATGAGCTGAGTGAATTAAATGTGTTATTATCTATAATTGATGAGCTGAGTGAATTAAATTTGTTATTATCTATAATTGATGAGCTGAGTGAATTGAATTTGTTATTATCTATAATTGATGAGCTGAGTGAATTAAATGTGTTATTATCTATAATTGATGAGCTGAGTGAATTAAATGTGTTATTATCTATAATTGATGAGCTGAGTGAATTAAATGTGTTATTATCTATAATTGATGAGCTGAGTGAATTAAATGTGTTATTATCTATAATTGATGAGCTGAGTGAATTAAATGTGTTATTATCTATAATTGATAAGCTGAGTGAATTAAATGTGTTATTATATATAATTGATAAGCTGAGTGAATTAAATGTGTTATTATCTATAATTGATGAGCTGAGTGAATTAAATGTGTTATTATATATAATTGATAAGCTGAGTGAATTAAATGTGTTATTATCTATAATTGATAAGCTGAGTGAATTAAATGTGTTATTATATATAATTGATAAGCTGAGTGAATTGAATGTGTTATTATCTATAATTGATGAGCTGAGTGAATTAAATGTGTTATTATATATAATTGATAAGCTGAGTGAATTAAATGTGTTATTATCTATAATTGATAAGCTGAGTGAATTAAATGTGTTATTATATATAATTGATAAGCTGAGTGAATTGAATGTGTTATTATCTATAATTGATGAGCTGAGTGAATTGAATGTGTTATTATCTATAATTGATAAGCTGAGTGAATTAAATGTGTTATTATATATAATTGATAAGCTGAGTGAATTGAATGTGTTATTATCTATAATTGATGAGCTGAGTGAATTGAATGTGTTATTATCTATAATTGATGAGCTGAGTGAATTAAATGTGTTATTATATATAATTGATGAGCTGAGTGAATTGAATGTGTTATTATCTATAATTGATAAGCTGAGTGAATTAAATGTGTTATTATATATAATTGATGAGCTGAGTGAATTGAATGTGTTATTATCTATAATTGATGAGCTGAGTGAATTGAATGTGTTATTATCTATAATTGATAAGCTGAGTGAATTAAATGTGTTATTATATATAATTGATGAGCTGAGTGAATTGAATGTGTTATTATCTATAATTGATGAGCTGAGTGAATTGAATGTGTTATTATCTATAATTGATAAGCTGAGTGAATTAAATGTGTTATTATATATAATTGATGAGCTGAGTGAATTGAATGTGTTATTATCTATAATTGATGAGCTGAGTGAATTGAATGTGTTATTATCTATAATTGATAAGCTGAGTGAATTAAATGTGTTATTATATATAATTGATGAGCTGAGTGAATTGAATGTGTTATTATCTATAATTGATGAGCTGAGTGAATTGAATGTGTTATTATCTATAATTGATAAGCTGAGTGAATTAAATGTGTTATTATATATAATTGATGAGCTGAGTGAATTGAATGTGTTATTATCTATAATTGATGAGCTGAGTGAATTGAATGTGTTATTATCTATAATTGATAAGCTGAGTGAATTAAATGTGTTATTATATATAATTGATAAGCTGAGTGAATTGAATGTGTTATTATCTATAATTGATGAGCTGAGTGAATTGAATGTGTTATTATCTATAATTGATAAGCTGAGTGAATTAAATGTGTTATTATATATAATTGATAAGCTGAGTGAATTGAATGTGTTATTATCTATAATTGATGAGCTGAGTGAATTGAATGTGTTATTATCTATAATTGATAAGCTGAGTGAATTAAATGTGTTATTATATATAATTGATAAGCTGAGTGAATTGAATGTGTTATTATCTATAATTGATGAGCTGAGTGAATTGAATGTGTTATTATCTATAATTGATGAGCTGAGTGAATTAAATGTGTTATTATATATAATTGATAAGCTGAGTGAATTAAATGTGTTATTATCTATAATTGATAAGCTGAGTGAATTAAATGTGTTATTATATATAATTGATAAGCTGAGTGAATTGAATGTGTTATTATCTATAATTGATGAGCTGAGTGAATTGAATGTGTTATTATCTATAATTGATAAGCTGAGTGAATTAAATGTGTTATTATATATAATTGATGAGCTGAGTGAATTGAATGTGTTATTATCTATAATTGATGAGCTGAGTGAATTGAATGTGTTATTATCTATAATTGATAAGCTGAGTGAATTAAATGTGTTATTATATATAATTGATGAGCTGAGTGAATTGAATGTGTTATTATCTATAATTGATGAGCTGAGTGAATTGAATGTGTTATTATCTATAATTGATAAGCTGAGTGAATTAAATGTGTTATTATATATAATTGATGAGCTGTGTGAATTGAATGTGTTATTATCTATAATTGATGAGCTGAGTGAATTAAATGTGTTATTATATATAATTGATGAGCTGAGTGAATTGAATGTGTTATTATCTATAATTGATAAGCTGAGTGAATTAAATGTGTTATTATATATAATTGATGAGCTGAGTGAATTGAATGTGTTATTATCTATAATTGATGAGCTGAGTGAATTGAATGTGTTATTATCTATAATTGATAAGCTGAGTGAATTAAATGTGTTATTATATATAATTGATGAGCTGTGTGAATTGAATGTGTTATTATCTATAATTGATGAGCTGAGTGAATTAAATGTGTTATTATATATAATTGATGAGCTGAGTGAATTGAATGTGTTATTATCTATAATTGATAAGCTGAGTGAATTAAATGTGTTATTATATATAATTGATGAGCTGAGTGAATTGAATGTGTTATTATCTATAATTGATGAGCTGAGTGAATTGAATGTGTTATTATCTATAATTGATAAGCTGAGTGAATTAAATGTGTTATTATATATAATTGATAAGCTGAGTGAATTGAATGTGTTATTATCTATAATTGATGAGCTGAGTGAATTGAATGTGTTATTATCTATAATTGATGAGCTGAGTGAATTGAATGTGTTATTATCTATAATTGATGAGCTGAGTGAATTGAATTTGTTATTATCTATAATTGATGAGCTGAGTGAATTGAATTTGTTATTATCTATAATTGATGAGCTGAATGAATTGAATTTGTTATTATCTATAATTGATAAGCTGAGTGAATTGAATATGTTATTATCTATAATTGATAAGATGAGTGAAATGAATTTGTCATTATCTATAATTGATGAGCTGAGTGAGATAACAGAACAAGGCAGCCTTAAGTTTATATTTTATTTACTTATTTAATAATCCAAATATTTTTATTTAGATAACTTGAAACGCCTGTCTACATCTCATGAGAGCCTAATATCACCAGCTTCTCCTGCTTCCAATGGGGGGATATATTCAGTAAGTATCATCTTTTGGAGAAGATTCTGTTTTCTCTTGGAAAGTGTATTTTTGTTCTAGGCATGGGTGTTCTTTTCTGTAGAAAAATATATTCTTATCTTTAGGATAAGAAAGTTGTTTGCTCTTAAAAAAGTGTGTTTATACCTCTGGGAAGGGATTTTCTAGATTCTAGGATAAAGATGTTCTTGTCTCAGAAAAAAATAGTATTAATTCTCTTCGCTTAGAACATCTCCCTATAGCTATTGTGTACCAAAAGACAGAAGGCTTAACAGGACCAGCTACAGTGAATTCTCAGTGATTCTGTCACTTTTATTTCCAGCAAAACAATTGATTTTGTCAGAAGACAGGGTTATTGTGACAATTTGTTTAAAGAAAAAACACTGGCTTGATAATGGGACAATTTGTCTCCGAAATTTTGGCAGAGTAGTGGTCCAATCTAGCTCCTAAAACACTTGCTGGACAGTGATTCAATCCAATAAGTGTGTGCTGGATGTATGAGATTGGACTATTTCGCACCTCATGCTAAATTAAACAAATACTAATCCCTGTAAAATAGTATTAACCCGTTCATCCCTAGGTAACTTTAGTAGACGCTACCAAACATTGATCTGGATGAGTTCATTATGGTCTACAGTGGTGAAAGGGTTAAACACATTGAATACCTATTGAAGAATCATGCTGTGACACATAAACATTAATTAGAAATGGTAAAGGTGTGAATGTAAAGTTTATACCCAGAATGTCTGATTTCAGGCGGAATTGTTAGACAACGTGGCACTGAATCTCCACAGAATTGATAAGGATGTGCAGAGGTGTGATCGTAACTACTGGTACTTTAACCAGGCCAACCTGGAGAAACTCAGGAATGTCATGTGCACGTATGTATTAACTCATGAACATCATACACATGTATGTATTAACTCCTCAACATCATACACATGTATGTATTAACTCCTCAACATCATACCCATGTATGTATTAACTCCTCCACATCATACACACGTATGTATTAACTCCTCAACACCATACACATGTATGTATTAACTCCTCAACATCATACGCATGTATGTATTAACTCAGGAACATCACATGCACGTCTGTATTAACTCCTCAACATCATACACATGTAGGTATTAACTCCTCAACATCATACACACGGATGTATTAACTCAGGAACATCATACACATGTATGAATTAACTCCTCAACATCATACACACGTATATATTAACTCAGGAACATCATACACATGTATGAATTAACTCCTCAACATCATACACATGTAGGTATTAACTCCTCAACATCATACACACGTATGTATTAACTCAGGAACATCACATGCACGTATGTATTAACTCCTCAACATCATACACATGTATGTATTAACTCAGGAACATCAGGTACATGTATGTATTTAACTCAAGATTGTCATGTGTACTTATTTCTTAACTCACTTCAGCATAAATTGACATGTAAAACTCAGTGTCCATTGCAAACAGGGATAAAGCACGTACAGTTGATAGGTAAATCGCCTTTAACCAAAATGGTTTCCCCGATTTGACATGAAAAGATATTTGGTTGCCTGCCTGACCAAATGGGTTTTCTCAAGGTACTCCAGTGTTCTCCCACGTTAAGTGTTCTTCAATCCAAGCCAACAAGAGTAATTAATTAGAACAGTCAAACATATCTGTTTTATCATTGCTTGACCTGATCTCATTATGTATGGTAACATTATCTATAGGTATGTATGGGAACATCTAGACGTGGGATATGTACAGGGAATGTGTGACCTGGTGGCTCCCCTCCTCGTCGTCTTTGATGACGGTAAGTAGTGAGGACAGCTTGTTTGAATTAATACATCATTTAATTCATACATATACCTGTATTGGTGAATTAACCTGAAATTACTTGTGTTTACTAATCAACCATCAGTCAATCATATTTTATTTCAGTCACATCATTTCATATGAACAAGTCAATGTCCAGCCATACCTTTTAATTACCTGTTTCTACCTTCATTGATAGAAAGTTACATGCATTTACTTGATTGACTTTTTTACCTGGAATTATCAGTGTTGACTTGTATTTATTCGACATTACATGTTATCTGTTCCTACCTGTGTTAACCTATATTGACTAGAATTTGACTTGATTTACCTGTATTTACCTGCAATTATGGCTTATCTGTCGACAGAGGCAATGACATACAGTTGTTTCTGTGAGCTGATGAAGCGGATGTCGTCCAACTTCCCTCATGGCGGTGCCATGGACACCCACTTTGCCAACATGCGTTCTCTCATACAGGTCTGTATGATTTATAAATATTCTCAATCTCTGAAGCAGCAAGTATCCTCTCTCCTTGCAGGGTCAGATGATGTCGCTTAATTCTTACATTGTTTAGAAGTCCTGACAAAACTGTTTCATTCTTTCAGGATTGTGTAAAGTTTGAACTAAATTTCATTTTATTCTGTAACATCCGTTTGTTGTTTCTTTTTTTAACAGAAGTGTGTTGTAGAATGAGTCACTATTTACTCTTAAACAAATCTTTGAGATTATATTGAAATTAAAAATGACTGCGAAGGCGGAATACATTAAATATAACTGCACTTGTTATAGTATGAATACTATATTTCCCCAAAAATTCCGCCAGAATAATTCCTATTTACCCGGTGTTAATTTGCCCTTCACGATTAGTACCTATGTATGTAATGTTATTGGCTAATGTTCACTGTAATGATAAATCCGCCCTCATGATGGCGGGAATTAAAGGCGAAAAATAAATCACAGCGAAAAATTCCTAGTATACAGTGTATTATGAAGAACGGTGATATAAATCTGATCTTAACCACACTGAGGTAGGACAGGTGTAAACCACAGTGAGGTAGGACAGGTGTAAACTACAGTGAGGTAGGACAGGTGTAAACCACAGTGAGGAAGGACATGTGTAAACCACAGTGAGGTAGGACAGGTGTAAAGTACAGTGAGGTAGGACAGGTATAAACTACAGTGAGGTAGGACAGGTGTAAACTACAGTGAGGTAGGACAGGTGTAAACCACAGTGAGGTAGGACAGGTGTAAACAACAGTGAGGTAGGACAGGAGTAAACCACAGTGAGGTAGGACAGGTGTAAACTACAGTGAGGTAGGACAGGTGTAAACAACAGTGAGGAAGGACAGGTGTAAACTACAGTGATGTTAATATTATGACCAGCCTGTAATTCTATGGCATAAATGGGATATGTACAGTACTGTCAATAATGTACTGATAATCATCCCCCAGTTGTAGTATAACCAGACATATTTACTGAAGCACACGGAGCTTGCATTTGAGGCAGCAAGGTAAATCTGTTATGTAACATCCTCTGTAAAATTTGTAATTTCGAAGTCATTTCACCAGTTGGGGCTTTGGTAGTGTTGCATTGGGCAGAATTTCAAAACTTAGTGTGGGAATTAATATGATATTGTGTTCTGGAGAAAATACTGGGTTTATTCTAAAACTTTCCATTTCAGATACTTGATTCAGAATTATTTGAGCACATGCACCACCATGGTGACTACACACACTTCTACTTTTGTTATCGATGGTTTTTACTGGATTTCAAGAGAGGTAAGATTACCGGTACCGCAAATATTTCTGCTTCTGTATTTTACTGATTTTATTGGATTTCAAGGTTCCTACTCTTGTATTCCCTGAAAAATTACTTACTGGTCTAATCTGTGTAAGGATAAAGGACAAACCTGTGCCTTCTGTAAGAGGATGAACTGATCAAGACTCATTTATCAGAACTACACAAGTTAGAAGGTTGAATGATGTTAACAGTACTAGGCTTGTATAATGTAACACTCGTTGTATGATGTTAACAGGACTAGGCTTGGATAATGTAAAACTCGTTGAATGATGTTAACAGTACTAGGCTTGATTAATGTAACACTCGTTGTGTGATGTTAACAGTACTAGGCTTGATTAATGTAACACTCGTTGCATGATGTTAACAGTACTAGGGTTGTATAATGTAACACTCGATGTATGATGTTAACAGTACTAGGCTTGATTAATGTAACACTCGTTGTGTGATGTTAACAGTACTAGGCTTTTATAATGTAACACTCGTTGTATGATGTTAACATTACTAGGCTTGTATAATTTAACACTCGTTGTATGATGATAACGGCACTAGGCTTGTATAATGTAACACTCGTTGTTTCGCCACAGAGTTGCTGTACGATGACGTGTTTGCGGTGTGGGAGACAATCTGGGTTGCCAAGTACATCAGCTCCCCGCACTTCATGCTGTTTATAGCTCTGGCCCTGGTCGAGTTCTACCGCGACATCATTCTCGATAACAACATGGACTTCACTGACATAATCAAATTCTTTAATGGTAGGTATACTGGTGTCACTTGTGTTTGTCAATGTGCTCTGTTAGGTACACATTACATCAATGGAAGCTTATCTCCCTTATATCCATGTCTTTGATGATATAACCTGCAATATTCATTTAGGCTCTGTTTGCTCTCTGGTCATTTAAAAACAACTTTGGTTAAAGTTAAATTTGCATATGCATCATTTTAAGGTTGTATTTGAACTGTTTAGCTAATCACTTTTTGGTTTTAATTAAATCTAAACTCTCAGTGAAGATGAACAAGAGCTGAAATAAAATCTGGGGAAAATATCTTGTTTCACAGTAGGTACATTTACCTGCTCATACCTGTATGTACATGTGACTCTCTAATTTATACATTTAATCATTGGTACCAGTGATGTTTCTTTCACTTTCAGAAATAATAACAATTTAATTTCTTTTTATTTAATTTTCAGAAATGGCAGAGAGACACAAAGCCAAGCAAGTGCTGAAGATAGCCAGAGATCTGGTTCATAAACTGCAGACTCTGATAGACAACAAGTGATTTTGTGCCAGTACAGCAAACTGACTCTGGGTAAACAACAATGATAGACAACAAGTGATTTTGTGCCAGTGCAGCAAATTGACTTTGGGTATACAACAATTGTTGCTGGTGAAAATTCACCACACTCTGATAAACAACAATTTTGCTGGTGAGAAGACAATACTCTGATAGACAACAGTTGTTGCTGGGAGTTCAATACTCTGATAGACAACAGTTGTTGCTGGGAGTTCAATACTCTGATACACAACAATTGTTGTTGGTGAGAAGTTAACTCTCATATAAACAACAACTGTTGCTGGTGAGAAGTTAACTCTCATATAGACAACAATTGTTGTTGGTGAGAAGTTAACTCTCATATAAACAACAATTGTTGTTGATGAGAAGTTAACACTCATATATACAACAAGTGTTGCTGGTGAGAAGTTAACTCTCATATAGACAACAATTGTTGTTGGTGAGAAGTCAACTCTCTGATAGACAACAACTGTTGTTGGTGAGAAGTCAACTCTCTGATAGACAACAATTGTTGTTGGTGAGAAGTCAACTTTCTGATAGACAACAATTGTTGTTGGTGAGAAGTTAACTCTCATATAGACAACAATTGTTGTTGGTGAGAAGTTAACTCTCATATAAACAACAATTGTTGTTGGTGAGAAGTTAACTCTCATATAAACAACAATTGTTGCTGGTGAGAAGTTAACTCTCATATAGACAACAATTGTTGTTGGTGAGAAGTTAACTCTCATATAAACAACAATTGTTGTTGGTGAGAAGTTAACTCTCATATAAACAACAATTGTTGCTGGTGAGAAGTTAACTCTCATATAGACAACAATTGTTGTTGGTGAGAAGTTAACTCTCATATAAACAACAATTGTTGTTGGTGAGAAGTTAACTCTCATATAAACAACAATTGTTGCTGGTGAGAAGTTAACTCTCATATAGACAACAATTGTTGTTGGTGAGAAGTTAACTCTCTGATAGACAACAACTGTTGTTGGTGAGAAGTCAACTCTCTGATAGACAACAATTGTTGTTGGTGAGAAGTTAACTCCCATATAAACAACAAGTGTTGGTGGTGAGAAGTCAACTCTCATATAGACAACAACTGTTGTTGGTGAGAAGTCAACTCTCTGATAGACAACAACTGTTGTTGGTGAGAAGTCAACTCTCTGATAGACAACAATTGTTGTTGGTGAGAAGTTAACTCTCTGATAGACAACAATTGTTGTTGGTGAGAAGTCAACTCTGATATAGACAACAACTGTTGTTGGTGAGAAGTCAACTCTCTGATAGACAACAACTGTTGTTGGTGAGAAGTTAACTCCCTGATAGACAACAATTGTTGTTGGTGAGAAGTCAACTCTCTGATAGACAACAACTGTTGTTGGTGAGAAGTTAACTCCCATATAGACAACAATTGTTGCTGGTGAGAAGACAACAATCTGATGGACAACAACTGTTGCTGGTGAGAAGTCAACTCTCCGATAGACAACAAGTGTTGCTTGTGAGAGTTCAACACTTTGATAGACAACAATGGTGGCTGGTAAGAGAACAACAAATGAGCTGCTTGTTTGTATCTGCAGGAACAACAGTGACAGCTACATGGGAACCACATCGTTTTTCAATTTTAAAGTAAAACCTTGTTACTACATGTTACTGCATCAATTGCCATTTCAATACGGTTTGTGTCCCATTGTAGCATCTCTTATCAATTTTTTAAAATTAAGTTGGCCATAAATGTAGATACTATTGTAAAATATGAAATATATGCATCTCGATAAGCCCTAAAAATGAGGAATGATGATTTAGGTTAGACAAGTGACAGTGATTTTATAATCAAATGTACATGTACACTGGGATTGAGGTATTAATTTGTCTCTATACTAGTAGTGAATCAATTAAATGCAGATATCACAACATCTGTTTACAAAACAATACATTTGTTGTACATTGTTTATGATTATTATAAAAAAACACACAAAAATATTCATAATTATTGTAAAAAAACAACACACACATTTCGACCTTATTAAGTGTTTAAAATGTGTGTGTATAGGTTTTATGGATAGTAAGTGTCTATTCTAGCCAAGAAGATGATGTGCAATATGTGTTAAATATATTTTAAATACTGTTAGTAGACTTTGTATCTCAGTTGACCACTACAGCAGAATCTCTGCAGAGTTAACCCTTTCACCACTGTAGACCATAATTGACTCATCCATATCGATGTATGGTAGAGTCTACTCAAGTTACGTAGGGGTGAAAGGGCTAAATTGAAATGTACTCTGTATCAGTTCAACCTGAATCAAATTAAAATGTTGTGACTTGTCCATGTTACTTGTTAATCATGATCAGCTGTCTGAAGTATTTAAACACTCATAAATATGCATTTATATATAGAAAACATAAAAAAGCACAAATATATGTAAGGTTGAATGTATATAAGGCTAAGTAGTGATAGGAGAGCTTGTGGACAGTTGTTGATGAAGAAGACCGCTATAGGGCAGCTCTGGATTCCTAGGACTTACGCTTGAGCTGTCGTGATGGATATCAATGTAAAGATATATTACATACATTCCATAAAATATCAATTCATGATATAATTGCATTTCCTTGCTTATTTTTGCTGTTAAATTTCATCAGTATCTTGTAAGTGGCAGTGGAACAATGCAATACTGCATATGTAAGTGTGCTCTAATCATGTTTCACCTTAAACTCTACTAGACATTTGTATGTCCAATGTCAGCAAAATTTATGTTTAAAAAGATTAAGAAATAATATTATTTATTTCATATGATTGTTTGGAATCACAGATAATGTGATAATAATTTAGTGATCTGGATGTCCAGGTGTGTCACAGGTTCATCTAGTAGCTACTCACAAGTATATTAATTCTGGATTGAGAAGTGAGCAAGCTATTACTGTAACATAATATGTAACAAGGATATCTTACAATTGGAGTTTGTCAGTTGGAAAAATAAGAGAATATTAAAGAAAACGTGGGTTTTTTCATATTTATTTTTTCATTTCCTATATTTTAAGGAAACGTTAGTCACATTGCAATTTCAACCTGTATAAACACATTTTATTTAAATCACAGTTTAATATATACTTAAAAGCACCGGTTTATATTGATGTCACATTATGTTATAAACTTATATGTATATTTGTATATTTTTCTAGTCGTAAGATACAAAAATTCTCAGAAACATGATATAATATCTGGTGTTGTGTAAACCTCTGGTCAGGAGAGAGTGTAAACCTCTGAGTCGGGAGAGAGTGTAAACCTCTGAGTCGGGGAGAGTGTAAACCTCTGAGTCGGGAGAGAGTGTAAACCTCTGAGTCGGGGGAGAGTGTAAACCTCTGAGTCGGGAGGAGTGTTAACCTCTGAGTCGGGAGAGAGTGTAAACCTCTGAGTCGGGAGAGAGTATAAACCTCAGAGTCGGGAGAGAGTGTAAACATCTGAGTCGGGAGTGAGTGTAAACCTCTGAGTCGTGAGAGAGTGTAAACCTCTGAGTCGGGAGGAGTGTTAACCTCTTAGTCGGGAGAGAGTTGAAACCCCTGAGTCGGGAGAGAGTGTAAACCTCTGAGTCGGGGGAGAGTGTATACATCTGAGTCAGGAGAGAGTATAAACCTCAGAGTCGGGAGAGAGTGTAAACATCTGAGTCGGGAGGGAGTGTAAACCTCTGAGTCGGGGGAGAGTGTTAACCTCTGAGTCGGGAGGGGGTGTATACATCTGAGTCGGGAGAGAGTGTAAACCTCTGAGTCGGGAGAGAGTGTAAACCTCTGAGTCGGGAGGGAGTGTAAACCTCTGAGTCAGGGGAGAGTGTTAACCTCTGAGTCGGGAGGGGGTGTATACATCTGAGTCGGGAGAGAGTGTAAACCTCTGAGTCGGGAGAGAGTGTATACATCTGAGTCGGGGAGAGTGTAAACCTCGGAGTCGGGAGAGAGTGTAAACCTCGGAGTCAAGAGATAAAGCAGCAGCTAGTTTTACAGGCCTTAAAAGGAAGGGATATAACTCCTCTGGGTAATGTATCGATGTATATTTTTAGTAACATTCCTAATTACATGGCACAGTTAACGTTTTTTCTGTAGACTCAGTTGTTATGATGTTATATACCCTTTATCTTAATTTGTTAAGTTGCCAAAATCCAATGTTATTTGCTTAAAATGTTATATTATATTTCTGTTTAAAATCCACAGGAACGAAAGTGTGTAAATATATGTAAATCACATTGGTTTTATTACCTTCATGCTGCCAAGCTTTTAGTTCTATTCATATCTATTAAACGTGCAATGAGATGTGAAGGTTTATTATGACATGATTCATCAGTTTACACACATTTACATGTCCTACACGTTTTAACGATTGATGTGTACTATCACGCTGTGTCCTCTGTCCTAATGGTTCAGTTCTGACATTGATAACACGTATAACCTTACAACTTACTAAGTAGAATGTATTGACAACAAACACTATGTACTTGTTTATTATCGCTGTAAAGTTCGTTGTGATAGCTGCCTTTAAATTTGAATCCATCAAAAGTGATAGTATATTGAATTCTAAATATTATTCATTTAACTCAAAAAGTCATTGTGTACTTAACACATGAATGTACTTGCCGTGAGCAATTTTTGTGCAGTGTTATTTTGTTCATGTCTGAAAGTCAGTAATATTCTTTAATTTAAACTTAGGTACTTGCATCAGTTAGAAATGAAAGACAAATCGGTCGTAGTAGTGGTGTGATTAATGAGAGGCCAATATGTATAATAAATGTCGAAACCAGGACACATGTTCTTATGCTCAACTTCTCATTTTTTGTTCAAGCCAAATTTTTTGTACATGTACCAGCAATGAATTGATAAAAAGTCACATTTTTGTTAATGAATCTCATTAAATTCAGTTTGAGCCCAAATCCCTTACTTGAGCATGAGGATTCAAGAATACAATCCCAGGTTTTACAATACAATGCATAGTTACCTACTCTGTAAATCAGCTAGGACAGATGTGATATCATTTTAATTTGGGCAATTGTAATATCACTATACCTAGGACAGGTGTGATATCACTTTACCTAGGACAGGTATGGTATCACTATACCTAGTACAGGTATGATATCACTATAGGATGGGTGTGGTATCACTATACCTAATAAAGGTATGATATCACTACAGGACACCTGTCCTAGGTGTGGTATCACTATACCTAGTACTGGTATGATATCACTTTACCTAGGACAGGTGTGGTATCACTATACCTAGTACAGGTAGGATATCACTATACCTAGGACAGGTGTGATGTCACTATAGAACAGGTGTGATATCACTTTACCTAGGACAGGTGTAATATCACTTAAGAACAGGTGTGATATCAC